ATTTTTTCCACTTGATTGTTCTTATATTACTTAAAAGTATTGCATAATGAAGTAGTTAAAACTCTATACTTTCACTTTTTCAATTATTTCATTTCGTAAACAAGTTTTCAACTGTGTTTGAACAGTGTCTTCTGTCCACCGAGTGTGTGGTCAACTTTTCCCTTACCCTATATTTTATTATTTTCGTGTCGCGTGTTGTTAACAAGATGACGTACTTTGGTTTCATCAGTGATTACTGCTTCATGGTACTGTGTGAGACAAATTCACTACGATAGTCTATTTTCAATAAAGCTCTAGTAGAGCAAGTGAAACTTAATCAAACGCACATAGGTACTCGAAAGGGAACTGAATGCCGTATTTGTTGTTGCTTTTGTTGTTTGGAAATTAATATTGAAGTTTATTACCAGCAATGCATCCTTCATTTTGCAAACCTACATTATTGCGATGTTGATGGTTTTCAAACATGTTCACCAAACATTTGAACATTAACGAGAAGAACATATACAATCCGAATACTCTAAGTCAGTTAATCATGTGGAGTTAGGACCTGACACATGTGTGTGAGCCTGTTGAATTCGCCATGACACACAAGAATGGTCAGATAAAAATGTCATTGTAGAATCGGTAATAGCATAAGTAGGGGCAGAAAACACCATTTATACATTTGGGATGGTGAGAATGAATTCATGGAATAGACGAAAGATCTAAATAAATGGTTGGCATGTATTAACACATACTATATTCATTTATGTTGTTCATCCACTTATGGAGAAGAACAAGGCAGTCGTGATTTTACAAACCAAACGCTTGTATTACTCGAAGTCACGTGAAACAAAATCATAGGGTATTAAAAATGTATTGTTAATCATTTGACCTAATCATCTCGAGAGAATAATGGCAAATGACATTTGAGTGACACTGATTGTTTGCTGAGCTTGTGCATTGTGTATTGATAGCATTAGACCAAAATGACCTGAATATGATTTACAAATATATGCCTGTTGTAAAACTCCAACTCATCAATCTTTCATCATAAACTGATATCACTAGTTGTGTTCGGATCGTTCAGTAGGGAAGTGGTTAACTGACTATAATTGTTTTATAGTATAAGTCACCTTTATTTGTCAACGGTCTTTTGTATATAATTCTGTATAAATTCGAAGGAATTTTATTTCCGGACATTACACATCCTAGTTGCTTTCTGAGACAAGAGAAACTGAGTTTAAATCTGAAAATTCATCTGTCAAGAATATTCTCCGTTTACTACTTGATGCTGTTAATCGGATTGTGTCGTACATGCTGACAGGTTAACATTCTATCGGAAAGTCAATTGAGTACTTTTATTGCAAATATAACTGAAGTTTAAATCAAGTCTACAACTGTTTTCAGTCATACTATGGTGTGGGTTACTTGTAGTAACATAATTAGTAAATGGTGATGGTCAGGGGTAGAATGTATTTCACTAGAAGATTGATAAGGAGAGAACAGGAACGGAACGCAATTGGTATGAAAATGCATGAACAATAATAATCGGAGACTATGGACTGATATTTGCAGAAGGAAGTGTCAAGATTGAGATAATTGATTGTTATTTTGCACATTAACTGTTTTTTGTATGTCTTTCAGATTTATTAAGAATATCATTTGAGAATAATGGTTTATTGTAAAATTCAGATACTTTCAAGATTGTTTCCTATTTCCTATCATGATTTGATTCTTTCGACCTACTTTTACATTTTTATGAGAAATCCCATCAGTAATATATGAGTTATTAAGACAACCAATATCTGGTAAAATTACATGAGAAATCTGATAAGTTGTTTCATTAGAAACTTTTGACTGACAATGATTTTGAGTTCCGTTTGATACTCTTTTGTTGATTGCGCTGCTCCAAACATTTTGTGAATGCTAGTCCCTCCATCTTTCGCGCCAATTTTTACGTGAAAAATAGGTCTGTTTTGGATAGAGTTTATTTTCAGAGTTATGCAAGACTAACAAGGCTTCATTTATTTCTTGACTGAGATATGACTCTATACTTTCTGCGTCAACAATAAAGTCGTGGAATGAACGAAAGGAGGTATATAATTGCCTCTGAATATGAATATTACCCTCTTTAATCTTGGATGAAGATAAATAAATGTCCAACTTAATAAAATTCGAACTGTAAGGTTTATCATCACTAAAGTCAAAACAAACAGTAGCTCTACAGACCTGTCTAATATGTCCCATTTTAATACATTCAACCCATATACCATGAAGAAATACACACGAACTACGTGGGTGAAATCTACCACAGGATAAGCATTTACTAAACCTGTGCTGATCTCTGTAACCTTCTTTGCAACTTCTCAATGAATTATTATCCACATGACCTTGGACACGCATTGGACTAGGATAACTAAGTAGCTTAGTAGAATTCCTAATGTCTTGACGAATCATTTTATGAAATTTCGCTGCTTTGCGGCATTCGAAACTGGCACATTCCATATGATTTAGTGGTAGTTCTGTAAGAGTTGCGTAGGGAAATGAAATAAGCTTGTCTAGTAATGCCAAAGTTTCTAGTAAGCTGTAGTCATCTTTTCCTGTGCATGTGAGTAACTGAACCAATCTCTTCGTTGTTCTTAACATAGTTCCTGGTCATACTTCGGATGTTTAACCTTAACATATAATCTTCTAAAGCTTCAGGATTTGAATGTATATCCAACTGTTCAATCACAGTCTTTATGGCGAAGCCGATATGATAATTGGAAGTATTAGAAATAATGTACTAACTAGGAATCCTCGAAACAGTGGAATTTACTGCAAGTAGAATTAGATGGGCACAAACGAGCGTACTGAATTTGGAATACGAAACCAGAAGACAATCAAGTCCAAAGGAATCATTAGTTCGTACAAATACCACGCACATGCCCGATTGCTTCTGTGCGTGAAAATCGTTGGTTTCGAGATTACCTGTCTCATTGTAACAGACCGAGGTTTTTCATCGTCGTCCGGCCTGACTACTTTTTTACTTCCACGAAATCGGTTTGTTGCTAGTCCCAAGAGAGGCATAACTAGTTAACGGTATCAGCTTATGAGTTAGTTGAATGTACTGGTTTGCTTAAGATCGACTTATATATGCTTAATATTTCAAAATTGTTTCGACTCTGTTTTCGAGAGGCTTGGTACTTTTTGTATCAGCGATATTCTAATGAAGGTGCAATATGTAAAGGCGTGGGAAAACACTCAGTTGGTCTAAATTGGATAAAAATAATGATTCTGTGAATATATTTTTCATCAGCAGGAACCTGGCTATATATTTTCGCCAAATCGATTTGAAGCGTACAGTTAGACTTCCCGAAATACCCGCTACATTGTAGGTATTTGGTGGAGAAGAACAGTTTAAGGATATTTTCCTTCACAGGTTTTGATAATAAACCAGGAAAAGTAAAACATATATCGAAAATATAGAGGTTGAAACAAGGAAATCTTGAAGGGTGGTCTCTGGATTGTGGGAGTACAAAATCGCATACAAGGATGCTTTACGTATGACGGAACCAGGAGATTCTTCTGTCAGAAAATTTCAAGTAAAGCAGATGGAATACAAAGTGAGATGATTGTTTCACGTTATCTGTAGTGAGATTCAGAATCGATGCCTCACTCAAAGCACACAGCTACGATAGTCCTTTAAAGCAAACAGGGTCAAAACTGATTTTGGATTTTCACGAACTGACTTATTGTGAGGTGTTAATTCTGACTAAAAAGTAACTAGTACCATGTAATCTTACTCTATCAATGGGTTTTTAAATCTAGAACAACAGACAGCTTTAATTAATCATTAGACGGCAACTAATTCGTTAAGAGTAAATAATAAACTTTATAAAATTGTCTAGTGTGTGTATTTTGAATTAGACTTACATGATACTGAGTTATGTTTCTAAATAATTGATCATATGCACGCACACTCACGTTTGTTGTCTTTCTCTGTATCTTCGATACAACGCGTGTTGATGTGTCTTGGATGAGAGGCGTGATACTATGAATGATATCCGGATTTCATTGAAATTCTTATTGACATTCTTAGTGACAGTCAGAAGAACTGGAGGAACAGGAATGTATGTTTCAACTCAATTTTTGTTGAAGTTACTACCATTATATGTATTCGAATATTATTTTTTTCTTATATATTGGTTGTTACTTTTGCTTTGACACTCAAATTTCAATATTATAGCATATAGTCCCCTATTTCTGGTACATGTTGTATTTTTACCATGCATATAGTTTCTTCTGTTGGAAGATGGGAACATTGGGGAATAGTTTCCAACATGAAAAGTTAGGCATCAGTTTATCAATGAGTCTGACCTTATATGTTTTGGCGAACTAAACTACTCGTAGATCCACTTTTATATTTTTACACCTTTTGTTTGCCCATCCTCGATATTTTAAAGATCTTCCCAATACGGTCAGTAACCCGGCTAGCATTACAAAGCTCTTTCACAAACTGCCTGAAATTTAATATATTATTGCTCCTTAACACAAAAGATACTTTACTAATTAACCATAGGCTTAAGATATATCTTTAATGTACGATATTTAGGCAAGCTTGATCTGAGATTTTTCACAAATCTCCCTTTTACCATTTGGGAATGTCTCGATTCGTAAATAAGAGGGAAGATAACATGTATCAATCACCGATCACACAAATAATTAAAGTCATTTTCCTTTAAAGGTTCTATCCTATTTACTTACTAACCTCGCCTGTTAGCCCTCATGGAGCATGGCCTACCAAGTATAGTTCTTTAACAAACTGTCCTGAACTTTTGTCCAGTCTCGTAATTTCATTCTCAACTACTACTGTGTAGACTAAAACTTCGGGCTACTTTTTTTCTACGAACAGCATGACAGTAATAGAGTCTTTTAAGTTAATTTCATTTGTTATGTGAGACCTTTTACGGGAGTGTTTATAAACAGTGGTCATTTTCTTTCCAGCCTTAACCCATTATTATTAAAAGAAAATACGTTTCAACAACGAACCACAGCATAAATTTTTATTATTAAAAATTTGACAAAACTTTACACCATACAAGTTTTTGTAAGATTTAAATATCAAAGTATTCATATCGAACTTCGGATCTCAATATACAAATAAAAACAAGTTTTCCGTAAGATTTTAACACTGACGGATTTATTTTCTTGCTTTGATCATAAAAATGATAGGTGCAATAAATATCCCAATTGATATCGCCATAGTTACAAAATTATCTATAGATCTGCTAGTTTGATGAAAGGCATTCTGTGAGAGACTTATTAAACCAGATACCGCGCTGGTGATGCCATTCAATGTACCGAAATAACGTATTGGGAATGCAGACAGAAGAAAGCTAATGAAGCAACTGAATAAGAGCGATCTCAATACAACCAGGAATACAAAAGATGCGTAGGTAGCTATGTAATTAGGTATAAACATCATTGCACTCAGAGCAACAGCAGAGACAGCCAATAGACCTAGTCCTGGGACTAGGCCAAGTGTTAGAGTATAGTACATTTTGTCGGGCATTGCCAAGTCACGTCCCTTGGTGAGCATATTTTGAATTCCTGTTCGAGCCCTTTTAAGACAGAAGTCAATCATAAGACCAGTAACTGGTGATAGTAAGAAACTCGACATAAAGAATGCTGAGGAGATACTTAATAAATGAGCTGCAAGTGGCTTGTCGTCAGAATACATATCATTTATGTGTTTTGCTAAGTGTGATAGGTAAAATGAGAAACGAAACAAACCCAAAGTAAACCAAAGATTAATCAGTAAGTATGGTAAAGAAAAAACACAACTTAATAAAGATGGGTAACGTTTATCCAAAATTGAAGATATTTCTCCATAGATATCCATTTCTCCCAAACTTTCAATTGACGCCTTCTGTTACAAAATAAATATAAGAAAGACAAACAATAGTAAACGTCAGTTATGGAAGAAATTTGTTCATATCTGTATTAGATCCTAAGATTTCCTTCAGGTTCTAGACTATGTATTTCTGTCAAGTTGAATAGACAATGACGAAATGAAACGCAGACGAACACCATGCCTCAGCATACCAGAAATAAATGGTGAACTGTGAAAGATCGGTGAATTCCGATGCACATACCGGGTAAGATTCTGTTATAAAGAAAATGTCATTGCATGCCTATTATTGAGAGCTTTCCCAAAGCGTCTTTCTCTCTCATCAAAAATCCATGTTTACACCCGATGGGGATGAAAACAAATCGTATATGATATATAAAGCTGGGTGTGACGGATTTCAAACAGACGCGATCTGTGTAGAAAAGGGAGTTTAATGATTCTACTGATTTTGTGGTACATTAACGCTTATTAAAATATGTGATGTGCTAACAAAATTTAAGATTCTGTCGATTTCGAAATCCAGTCATCCTCACTTTTAATGGTTGTGCTATGGATAGCTTCTACTACAATTGAGACAAGCGGTTTAGTCTATCCTCAATGTGAAATAGCATATCGATCATTTCATGAAACTATATTTTTGTATGTCAGAATATGACAAGTTTGAACTGAATCTACGTAGTACACGTGTGAAATCTCACAACTGAGGCTTCATTGACTGCTATTATTCGTGGAGATGTTTAGTAGGAGAACATAATTCTGAGTTAAACACAAATAAATATCATTGAAAAAAGCGTTTACAGCACCCGATGTAATCATGTCCTACGCGTGTTGCTATTATACTATCTCAGGAAGAAGTGAAACGATAAACATCACTGACAAGGTTTACAATATCGGATGTAGATAGATTTGTAATCTGGATGTATTCAGTCAGGTTGCCTCAAACACAGAAATATGTATTGCTGTCTGCAAATATAACATCAGTTGGTAATCACTCACCTCACATAAATTTTCTTCTTCTTTGCTGATGGAGGAGAATTTTCCCATATCTTCAGATTTCTGAGTAAGGATAAAAAGTGCCAAAAAACTGCCAACAACTACTGAGCCGGAAGCCAAAATAAGAAACGACCATTTGAATGGGAACATAAGGTAGGTCAACGATATTACATAAGCTATAACCGTACTTGAGTCGTACGCTCCAGACAAAAGCGATATGCAAAGACCGCGAAACTGTGGGAACATAGAACTGACTTGATGATTGCATATCAAGCTGCATATACTACTTAAGGCGACAAGTATACCGGCAGCGTAGAATAGTGGCACTCTTTCACCAGTTATAAATGCAAACATTACGGTACCAACAAAGTACACTACAACTGCCAGCAGTTTTAGTATTCTCAGCCCCACCTTATCCATCAGTATTCCAGCAAATACAATAAGACACATTTGTGATACCATCCACACATTGAAAACAACTCCGAACATATCATAGTGATACATGCATTCTCCTGCCGTACAGTTGTAAGCGTATACACCAACTGATTTGTAGACTGTGATGAGAGAATTGAAGCCATAATGATAGCCACCAAAGAAGAAAACATCGAAAATCGCTAACGCCAATCCGAGCCAACGGCGAATTCCCGGCGGGATGACATTGTCAAGTTTCTGACCTATAATAACGAGATAGTTAAAATAAAGCTGTAACGGTGATGATCATTTTTAAGACTTACATGACCATAGAAGCATAACTACCGAAGTAACAAACCGAAAAATAAGACTTTAGTAGATTTTTTGATGGACAAACTTAAGTACGCAAAATCCCAACCTAAACGGATAAGAAAAGGCTGATACATACGTGGAACAGTAATTCGATGTTGATGGTTTTCAAACATGTTCACCAAACATTTGAACATTAACGAGAAGAACATATACAATCCGAATACTCTAAGTCAGTTAGTCATGTGGAGTTAGGACCTGACACATGTGTGTGAGCCTGTTGAATTCGCCATGACACACAAGAATGGTCAGATAAAAATGTCATTGTAGAATCGGTAATAGCATAAGTAGGGGCAGAAAACACCATTTATACATTTGGGATGGTGAGAATGAATTCATGGAATAGACGAAAGATCTAAATAAATGGTTGGCATGTATTAACACATACTATATTCATTTATGTTGTTCATCCACTTATGGAGAAGAACAAGGCAGTCGTGATTTTACAAACCAAACGCTTGTATTACTCGAAGTCACGTGAAACAAAATCATAGGGTATTAATAATGTATTGTTAATCATTTGACCTAATCATCTCGAGAGAATAATGGCAAAGCACATTTGAGTGAAGTGTCAGCTGTCAAGCATATTCTCCGTTTACTACTTGATGCTGTTAATCAGATTGTTTCGCAAATGCTGATAAAATAATAGGTTAAAAGAAGGCTAATTCAACACTCAAACTGAAGTGATAATTGATTCGGTTCGACAATGTCTAACTATGCTACATACATCTTTTTAGTATATAAAATGTAATTAGAGAAATTACGGTTCACAAGTGTTCCTTGTTTCTACTAAGAAAATTCATGGAATTGTTTCTACCATTCTACTAGAATCACGACCTTAAAAGTACGTTTCATGTTTTATTTGTCAGTCATTCCAGTACTTCACCAACTAAACTATACTAACATTCGCATTGTGTTGAAACCATTTTATACTAGTGTAGTTGAAAATTTTACTGCTCAAACACTACGTCGAAAAAACTACGTACATAACTGCCAGTATGAAAACAGATAAGAAATATGATAGATGAGAAATTGTATCAACTTACACAAATTCATCCTTCGTACTTTGAGAGAGTGTACTCATGGTTTTCGTGAGTATTTATATTATTAGCACACTTAAACGAAGCGAATTCTATAACCCTGCTCATTCAATATACAATACATTTTTCACCATCAAACAGCAACTATCTGCATCTAAAGAAGGAAACTCACTATAATGATGGTGGCTCAATATATTTTGATTGTATCAATCTCATTTCCATTAATAACAGTCTTCAGTCTTCAGTAATAAGGATAGTAGGTTGATAGACCTGTGTTAATCCTGACAGATTTCCTTCCAGTGAAGGTCCAGCTTCTTTTTGAAAATGTTCACTGATGGTGCTGATACAACTTGTTCTGGTAAAGCGTTCCAGTCATTGACCACTCGATGAGAAAAACGGGACCCCACCTTTAGTTTATTAGATCGCGGTTTTCAAACCTTCTTGCTATGACCCCGGAGATTATCAGTGCTGGAGGGAGCAAAAAGGTAAGACATATTAACACCCAGATCATAATTAAAGATACGAAATGCCAGTATAAGGTCACCTCGCGTCCTACGATAAGATAAGGGGAAAAGATTTAGACGTTTTAAACGCTCATCGTAAGAGAGTTTGATAAGACCCTCTACTAATTTTGTCCCTACACGCTGGACACGCTCAAGCGATTTAGTATCCTTTATCAGACAAGATCTAGCTGCTTGGATACAGTATTCTAAATATTGCCTTACATAGGTGGGATATAAAATTCGAAACATATCCTCGTCAAAGCATTTAAATGCTCTGCGAAGCGACCATAGCGCTCGATAGCCTTTGGAAGCAACCGCATTGCAGTGCGTAGTAGTTTTTAAGTCGTGACTTATAATTACTCCTAAGTTTTTATGCGCATGAACGCGTGGCAGAGATGTACCATTAATGGTATTGTGGTAACTAATATCGTGCCCGATGTGCATGAACACGCTCTTCCTGGAATTAACTTCCAGGCCCCAATCATGAGCCCACCTAACTAATTCGTCTAAATCTGCTTGTAGATAACAACGATCAGTCTCATTTCTTATTGTTCTCCAGATTTTAACATCATCCGCAAACAATAATGTCGACGACTTAGGTAATAAAGGTAGTTCATTGATATACAGAAGGAAAAGTATAGGGCCCAAGATGGTGCCTTGGGGTACACCACTTCTGACCGGTTTCCATTCGGATAGAGTTCCATTGACTCTCACTCTCTGTCTGCGGTCACATAAGAGGCTTCCTATCCATTCCTGTATAGCACCTGTTATACCAAAGCTCGAGAGCTTTTGCATAAGACCTAAGTGTGAAACCTTATCAAACGCTTTGCTAAAATCTATAAATATCACGTCGGCAGACTGGCCGTTGTCTAGGACAGCTGTCCAATCCTCTCTCGCAATAAGTTAGTCAAGCATGAATGCTTGTTACGAAACCCATGTTGCTCGGGAGTTAACAGATTGTACGAATCTATGTGGCTCAGTAGCTTAGCCCGAATTAGTTTTTCAAGTAACTTAACTACTGTACTGGTCAGGCTAACAGGCCGGTAGTTAGATACTATCCGTCTCTGACCATCCTTAAATATAGGACTAACTATGGCGTCTTTCCAGTCTCTAGGTAGTTGAGCCTGTGAAAGGGACATGTTGAAGAGCGTCTTGAGCGGTCTTGAGATAATATCCGCAAGCGACGACAGCAAACGTGGGTGTAACCCATCGGGGCCCGGTATCTTACAAGGTTTTAGGTTAGTTATCAAAGGAAGAACTATATCCTCTGTCACGTGTAAAGGTCCTATGGCTGGTATCTCATTGTCAACGGGACAAGTAGTTGTAACACTACACGTAGAGTAGACTTCACTGAAATAGTTAGCAAATAACTCCGCTTTCGCTAGATCAGATTCAGCCAATAAAGCTGAATTTTCGCTTAACAGTAATGAGGGGATGGTAAGCTAAAAATAATCATGCACGAATTATAAATCGAAATATTACGCTAAGATCACCATATTGATAGAAATAAAAAACGATGAGTCTAAAAAAGATTGATACTCAATACACAATCATGAATGATTTTTAGGAGAGTGAAATTTTGTTATATGAAAGCCAGAAAATTTCGAAGTGTCTTTTGACCAAAGTCCAGAGACTTAAGTAGTTTTACTTAACTTATAGTGTGTAAAAACCTAACTAAGAACTATTTATTTGACATCTTAAATCACTTTCAACAAGCAATTTATCTCTGTTACACATGAGTAACCTTATTATTACTTGTAGACACTGTACATAAGTATTTAACCATAATATTATTTATCAATGAAGGGAGATAAACTTGGTTACCTTCGAATGAGTTCGATCATGAAGTTTATCTGGACTCCTAAGGTTAATTACTGGTTCTGTATAGGATGACTGACTAAACGGGCCTCGTGAACTTCTTTTGTACATGGATGGAGACAGCAATTTAAAATCCCACAATATTAGTGTGAGGCGTTAACGATAACCCAACTAAATTCATTAGCCAATATCTTTCATCGAATGTGAAACCGTTGTTTATTTCGCACTGCCATCTCAACAAAATTTACGTTTAAAGGCCTTTCCGACTACTTAAACAGGGGGATTCTGACACTTGTACACACTTTTTTTCGTGAGTTTGACAGTTATTTTAAAGTCAAGTCAATAATTTAATGATAAACCATCGTAAATTGGTTGCACTCTGGCCGTTAGATCTTGGATTTTTAAAAATTTAATGTCCTGTTGATCATTCTTTAGTTCATCCTTACGGACTGTTATTCATCCATCTCTTATTCTAGAAGCAGTAAAAATCCGAAGCTGAAGCATGATGATAAAATCATCACCCAAAAAGGTTTCTTGAAAGATCTATTTAGATGATAGATTTGCAAACAATTTTCGGCATTCATATTTTTGAGATGAAAATATGGCCTCGTATCGTGTAGACAGGGTCGTGCATTGGAGAATTAGCAAGTGGTCCTACGATGTACTACTCTAGTTTTTTCCAAGATTACCTTTCCTTAGTAAATTCATTTTTGTTCTACACATAAATGTAACGGCCATGGCACACAGGTAAAGAGGTGTGAGTTCACTTAAAGCATTAACTGTATGGTGTGATTTAGATATAAGTTGGGAAGTCATAACATTTCTGCCTAACTGTATTAGACTGTGACTATCTAAATACATCATCTGAGTTGGTGATGGAAAATTTCAAAAATATAGTCTGAAAGCAATGGATAACCTACCAAGCTTGTAAAATCTAATCTACTTTCTCCACAGTTAAACTCCAAGTTTTATATATGATTCAACAACTTTATTTGTATACACAAATAATAGAGGGACGTTTAGTTACTGCGTCATTTATCAATGAAGAAACTTTTTTGGATGAGAGAAATGATCTTAGGGCCAAGTTTTCCAGGACTTATTACGTCAATTCGTTAGTTGATTTAATGGTAGAAATATCAGTGAACGCTGGATAGCTTTGTCTTAACGACGTGAATTTTTGCTTCAATTGTAAAGTCCCATAGATCCGGGATGCAAATAGCTTGATAGGCATTTAGTGTCTGAGCTGATCTAGTAGGTTTTATTGACACTTTCAAACTGATGGTTCCTTTCACTCATCCACATATTAATAATAAACTCTTATTTAAGGAAATAGTCTTCTTCCAGTAATCAGTTCACAATCTAGTTCAGGGCCAGTAAAATGTCACTGAACCGTAGCCAAATCATGCGGCAGTTGGGTCACTAAATATCGAACAGATCATCCTTCTCCGAGTTACGATTGAAGGTGCTTTATTTGTGTCGCGAATACCAGGGCATAAGCCGACGAAGTCAGTAGTGAGCAGAGTAGTCAAGTGGCCGCATTTAGATGATGTGCACTTAGAAATTCTAGATTCGGGAGAAATCCTATTGCTGATTGGTTATGATGTTCCGGAAGCCCATTGGTTACTCGGCCAACGGTTGGGTGGGAGGAAGAATCCGTATGCCATGAAGACGTTGCTCGTGTGGACTGTGTTTGGGACCGCATCAGGCCTGGATCTTAGAAAAAGAGTATAATACCATTAAGGTACATAAGTTGGGAGTTAAAGTACGTAAGCCTTAACATGAGAAGTTTGCCAATATCCATTCGAGTCATAAATCAGTATCAGTAGGAGTAAGTGCGAATACACAGATTGTGAAAATGAACATGTGCTCCAAGAATGGTCAATTTGTAGTCTCTATACCTCGGAAAAAGACTTGGAACATGAGAAACGGAAAGTATGAAGTAGCAGACAGTAGATTGCAGAGTAGGTTGTCCAAGGATAACAACCTACCCACCAGATATACCAAAGGTTTTGAGAGCAATTTCACTGTGGGCTATGCGAAGAAGGTTCCTCAAAAAAATCGAGGTCAGGTTATCGCTCTCGTCATGCAGTGTCGAACCCCAAAACACCAGAGGAACGGGGAGTGGTTTTTGATTATGCCGTCAAACTTACAGGGGTCCCCCTATATGAAATGATTTATCAAGGACCCAACATCACGAACGAGCTAGATTCTAGGCATATAATAGGTGGAACGAATGACACGAAGATGAAAGCTAACGAACGAGGTAAAGAGAATCGTAATTTACAGAGAGAGAGAAATTCTTGAAAGGGATCTTGGTAAGTATAAACAAGGTCATGATGCTTACAAGACTCTCCTTAGCGACTATCATGAGTCAGAGAAACGGTTCCAAGAAATGAAATGAGACCTCGAGTCCAAGAAACTACTTCGAACTGATTTGTATAACAAAATTCTCAGCCTTAAAGTACAGTTAGATATCCAGTCTCGATTCTTCGATGAATGTGAAAAGTTAATTGAACACGGTCTTACAATTGAAAAAGCCGTCGATGGATGAACACAAGTTGAATACGATTATCAGAGGAGGTTAGGTCGATTAGATACCAAAGCGTTTCTGAATTAGAAAGGTATAAAATGCTGATGGAAATAATCTTTGAGAACAATCGTGGACGATTGAAGTCATCAGCTAACTTTGGTGGTGAATATGCAAGTGACCGACGGTTCGAGCTGTTACTAGCTTGCAAACTTACTGACGAAATTTCTCACG